CGGTGTCTTGGTCTCGATTGCCGGTGTCTTGGTCTCGAAGTGGTGCCCAACACTAAAAATATACGATTTGTTGATGGTGTCTTAGTCTCGAAGTGCCCCAGCACAAAGATGTACGATTTGTTGATGGTGTCTTGGTCGCGAAGTGGTGGCACAGCACTAAGATGTATGTTTTGTTGCTGGTGTCGTGGTCTCGAAGGCGGTGCCCCAGTACGATTTGTTGCTGGTGTCTTGGTTTCGAAGTGGTGTCCCAGCACGAAGATGCACGATTTGTTGCCGGTGTCTTGGTCTCGAAGTGGTGCCCCAGCACAAAGTTTTACGATTTGTTGTCGGTGCCTTGGTCTCGAAATGGTACCCCAGCACGAAGATGTACGATGTGTTGTCGGTGTCTTGGTCAGTTGCCGGTGTCTTGGTCTCGAAGTGGTGCCCCAGCGCGTTAAGATGTACGATTTGTTGCCGGTGTCTTGGTCTCGGAGCGATGCCCCAGCATTAAGATGTATGATTTATTTTCAGTGTCTTTGTCTCGCACTGAAATGTACGATTTGTTGATGGTGTCTGCCACATTCTCCAAGCTCTGGTTGAAATCGTCTCCGAAGCTCAAGGACTGCAAGCTGCCAGGCAAGGCCACATTTTCCAAGCTCTGGTTGAAAGCGTGTCCGAAACTCCAGGACTGCAAGCCGCCAGGCAAGACCGCATTCTCCAAGCTCTGGTTGAAGCGATGTCCAAAGGTCAAGGACCGTAAGCCCTTTGGCAATTCAACATTCGCCAGACCGCGCTCACGGTGGAATTCCAACGAAGAGATTGCATCCTTTGCATGTACGTCCATCACGCTCAGGCGGTGGCCGTCACTGGCTTTCAGAAACGCAGCTGCTGCGTGCCCTGCACCAACCTAGGTGGGCCCCTTGACAAGCCCCCGCATAAACAAAATCCAGAGTAGGATCCTCGCACCCAACAATGAGGGAAAACATACTCATGCCAAGGGCAACTTCTTGAACCACATACGTGATGACATCACTCTGAGCTTACGCCAACAGCGGCTTGGAATCGTCTAGGCCATTGCCGCCAGCGACCAAGACAAGCATACCACCTGGCTGCAAGCCGATCCTTCTTGCGACGCTCTCGCGCAAGTCTTTCACGGTCATGTTGTCTTCAAAGGAGATCTGCACTTCTGAACCATCGAGACCACAGACCGTCAAGCGTCGGCCAGCAGTAAGGCCATCAAACTCGTCTTGAGACAAGCCGCGAAATCCTGGTGCAAGGTCGGCCATGGGGGGGGCACACGCCTTGGCTTGCGTGACCTTGTGGACGATATGAACCTAGACCTGAATAAGGGTTTGAAAGTTGGTAGTCTAGGGTATATATAGGGCACCAGTAGCTGATCCCAATGTTAGGCGAATTTTGTTCCAAAAGGAGTGGACTGCTGCCGAAGGTCAAGCAAACAGCTGGTGGGCTTACAGTTTCCAGGCTCTGGATGAAGACATCTGCCACCCTAAGCCACATTAACCCTAAACCCTAAACCATAAACCATACAAATCCTAAACTCAAGGATTGACAACGCAGAGCCTTTCAGCCGTCCAGCAGGGTGAGGCTTGGACGAATGGAGATAAAGCGAATGGCGTGTCTTGGCTTCTAGGCTCCCCGAGCTCGGTAATCTTTGGTGGAAACTATTGCAAGCTAATTTAGTTGTCCAGTACCTAGCGGTTTTAAAGGTTAACCTTTGGGATTATAAGGGGAACATATTAACCCAACAAGGTTAAAGGTTACCTACTCTACTACGAAGCTAAGGGACGCATGGCTGCGACTTTCTTTCTCCCCATATCTGCGCACGGCATCCTGATTCGCCCGATAGGGCGGCCACTTATGGTAAGGAGGCATCCATGTCACCTCGTAGGCGCCAGGATGCACTTTAGCAACCTGCGCCTTGAAGTACATGCCGTGCCACAGCGCTTCCACGGTCTGCCCCACCTTAAGTGCCTTGAGGGCCTCTTCTTCTGAGGCTCCAAGGCCTTTGGAGATGAGAAACTCGGCAATCTCCACGGCGCAGGCCTTGAGCCTTGGTGCCTCTGACGCGTCGGTGAAGAAGAGGGGAAGGACGTGCTCGGATCTCCGGTACACACGCACCTACACTCCCCCTATAGAACCTTATTAAGACTAATATGATTTAATATCCTTTTTTGGGTTTGATTTACACAAAATAATTAAAAATGATTCCCAAAAGGGGGACAGAGGCACTTCTCCGCCCCGGTAGCAGTCGCTGCCTTCGCAGAGGCCCTGATGGCCACGGCGCTGGCGGTGGCCTCTCTCGGGCCGCACTAACCCTGGAACTGCCAGGCACCTGACTTCTCCGATAACCTAGGGGGAAAAAAGGTTAAACTTTATTATTTCTAATAAATAAGGAAGCCCAAAAAGTTTGTAAAGTTCAACTATTGGCTAAGTAAGGCACAGAAAGGCGCAGGGGAGGCCGCAGCCGTAGGAGCGCCCGAACTCGATGTTGGTCGCGGCGTAGATGCCTCGTCCGAATGCTTCGCCATTCAGGACTTTCACTGCGGTTCCATCCGCGTTGGCGGAGCCCGGCGGGCGCAGGTTGTTCTCAACAATTGCTGTGACATTCTCCTATGCTCCCCTTAGAACCTTCCTAAAAATAGCATTTTTAATGTCATCTTGGGTTTCATATGAAACAAAAAATAGAAAGAGAATTCTCAAGGGGGGATAGAGTTTCTTCCCGAGTCCAGTGGTAGACCACCTCCAGTTGCATCTCGGCCTCCTCTTGGGCCTTCAGCTCGAAGAGCCGCTTCACGAAGGCGACGGCCACGTCGAAGTTGCAAATCTCTCGGGGCTGGTTCATGCGGGGAATGATGCTGTCCTTGGTAGCCCAGCAGCCATATTATGATCAGGGCACCATTTTTTTGGGGTTGGCGAATTTTATAAGGGATCCCACAACCCAAAAAAAAGAGGGCAAAGGGTACCAATGGGCTACCAAGTGTCTGTTGAGACACTTTCCGACTGCCAGGTCGTATACGGGGGATCCCAGCTGACCAGGTGGCGGCCGTCCTCGAGAGTCTGACTGATGCGTGCGGCATACCAGTGCCCATCGCTCCAGCGAACCAGAACTGCATCTCCTGCACCGGTTTAGGGGTACACGACTTTTGTTGCTCTATAAGGTTGCGACAACTTGATTGCATCAACCTACCACAAGAATCTAGGCGTTGTGTTTGTCGGTGTGCAGGGATCCTGGCGTGATGTCTTATGCAAATCAGATGTGGCCACTTCTCTAAATTCTGGTTTCTTTTGGGGTCACTACTCCAAGGCGGCCCCTATGATTTTGGGTACCCAAAAAATAGGAGTTAAGATTAGGGGGAATTTTGGGGATATAGACCCTCTCAATAAGGTCCCTGTTAAGAGGCCCAGAAGTAGGGTGAAGAAGGGTCCCCTTTTAAGGGGTCTCCCTCATACTACGTAGGAAACCCTAAACCCTAAACCCTAAACCCCAAACCCCAAACCCGAAACCCTAAACCCTAAACCCCCAACCTACCCTAACATGTGAGCCCGTGGGCTGCTTCGAAAAAGAAGGCGCCTGCGCCTGCCGCGCTGCGGTTGCCCGGCAAGCCCGAGCCACCAGACCGAGCCATCTCCACGATCTGCGCCTGAGTTTAGGGTTTAGGGTTTAGGGTTTAGGGGCCTTTGCTTCGGACTTTTCTCCCTTGGTGCACTTTAGGGCTGTGAGTTTAACAGGGTTTCGGGAGTTTATGAAATAATGAATATCTAAAAAAGGAGATGCAACAAACAAACAGCCATAACCTGCTGCAAGATCAGAGCTAGAACCTTGCCAAAAAAAAAACATTTTGAATATCCTCTTGGGTTTTATACAAACAAAAAAAGAGAGGAGAAAAAAAAAAAAAAAACTAAAAGGGGGATGTAGCAGAGAAGGTGCAGCGATGTCGATCTCCGAGGTGGAGCTTCGCATCTCTGAATCGAGCAACTCCTGGTGCACTCGGTGAGCAGCCAGGTGGTCCTCCAAGTCCTCACTTCCAGGCGATGCAAGGTCTCTGTAAGGTTTAGGGTTTAGGGTTTAGGGTTTAGGGTTTAGGGTTTAGGGTTTAGGGTTTAGGGTTTAGGGTTTAGGGTTTAGGGTTTAGGGTTTAGGGTTTAGGGTTTAGGGTTTAGGGTTTGGGGCTTGGGGTTTAGGGTTGAGGGCTAATGTTGCTATCAGGTCCATATGAGGTTACTGTAAGGTTGCCCTCAAGGTGACTCTAAGGGTATTTTGGTATAAGGCCTAAACCCTAAACCCTAAACCCTAAACCCTAAACCCTAAACCCTAAACCCCTAAACCCTAAACCCCAAACGTTGACTCACATGCAGCTCAAAGGCCTCAGCTGCGATCCTGACGACTCTTGCACGCTCTGACCAGGTCAAGCGAAAACTGATGTGACACTTTGCAGAAACACCTTTGGGAGCTTCCGAAAATACGGGGTACCTTGTTCGGGAGTCCTTTGTTGGGATCCCTTCTCTTCCTAAGGGTGGGGGGCTTCTAAGTGAGGGTCCCCTGTTTTCGGAAACTCCCACTTCTTGCCGTCAGGAAGCAATGCCCCACAGACCTCGGAATCATTGCACATGGGCAAGGGGATCAGAGAGACCCCTAAACCCTAACCCCAAACCCTAAACCCGAAGCCCTAAACCCTAAGCCCTAAGTCCTAAGCCCTAAACCCTAAGCCCTAAAGCCTAAGCCCTAAGCCCTAAACCCTAAACCACTGTAACCCCACGAGGGCCATGTAAGAGATAGCAAGGCAGGTCGTGCCTGGCCTCACATGCCTTCATGTCTCCGCTCCGCTGCGAGGAGGAGCTGGCCGCATCTCCTAGGAGGCAGAGTAGAAATTTGGGGGCCTCTAAATTTGAGGGGGGCGGGGGGGTTTGGGGTTAGGCTTTTGGGTTTAGGGGGTACCTTTGCATAAGCGGGGTCCTGAGAATGAAGATCCGACTATTTCGGATCTGTATTCGGATCCCCTCTTGTCTGCAATTCCCAGCGGAAATTCAGAACCTACTATTTGCTTAAGAACACCAAAAAACCAAAAAACACTATAATCCCTACATCACCCTTATAAGGAAGAGCATTTCAATTTTTTGTGTTCTCAAGCAATTGGTAGTAACCACACGTGTCCATGGCAAGTGGCTGTGCCCCTCCACGTGCTTTGCGAAGTCGTCAAAGTCCACTAGCCTGTGCCATAAGCTCACACGACCCTAAACCCTAAACCTTAAACCCTAAGCCCTAAACTGTCGAACTTTCTGCCCACCGGCCTTCCACAAATCTCACAGTCAATTCCCTGCGTTTCGATCTCGACAGCCGGCCTCAGACATATGGGGTTGGGGTCCTTATTATAAGGGAACCCTACTATTTGGGGTCCATGTTAGGGACCCTCGTATTTTCGTAAACCCCCCATATCGGAGAGGGAAGCAACTCAAGTCATTGCCGACGAAAAGACCCCTGCCTGCTTACCAACTCTGGCGCATCCAAGTCCGGCTCAGGCTGCGAGGCAGCCTCCTAACACGAACGCCGAGAAAATCGAGCAAAAGATAACGAGGCCGGGATCTAGATAGATGGGAAGAGAAATAATCATGACCAGCACAGAGGCGTACATGGTCATCAGGGCAGAAGTAGCCACAAAACAAACACAAAGAATAAGCGACAGTGTGGCCAACATAAAATGCCACAGGTCCGAGTGGTGCCCGTGATTTACTCGCTTTGGCTGTTGCTCGTTGTTTAGTGGTCCTGTTGCTCGTTTTGTGACTTTGTTGAACCGCCTGTCATCCGAGCAGTCTGCTAGCAGGAGGAATCAGAGCAGAATAGAGCAACAGGGAACATACGGGGATGTTTCTTGATGGCCGAAGTTGCGTTCATGTGAGGCATGCATGCATGCATGCGTGCTCTCACGGGCGCGCGCATGAGTGCATGCACACATGCGTACACGCATGTATACATAGTCACGTACATCCATGCATACCTATACCCACTTTTCTTTTGTATGTGTGCATGTGCTTATGTATGCATGCATGTATGTCTGCTTGTGTGGGTGCGTGAATGCATGGATGCATGGATATATGCCTGTATGGACGCGTGGCAGGGTGATTGCACATGCTCTATATTTGTTATATCATGATTCATGATGCTACAGCGTGTGGCGTTGTGCTTTATTAGGATGAAGTAGGGAATTTATGCTACAGTATCTTATATGGCGTTTTCTTGTGATAAATTCTGCTATACTATGCTAGATCAGATCATTTTATAATATACTGTGCTATTGTAAGTTACATCATCTGTATATGTGTTTATGTATGTACGCGCTCAGAGCAAGGAAAGATCCTGTGTTCATTCCTTCGTCTAGTTCTGTCTCTACAAACGTGTGGTGGGCATGTACGCGCACAGTCACGACAAGCAGGTTTGTGCAGACATGGCCGCGGAAAGCATGCACGTGTGCATACAGACGGTCGAGCTTTCCGACTGCGACACAGGCTCACAACATCTCACAACATGGCGAGAACTCAAGCACGGAGCTTTGCTGCCTGATGCCACACTGAATCAAACTTCCGACCTGCTCGTGAGTGGACATGTGCTGCAGGAACGTGTCGAAAGGGACACTCTTGCCACAAATCTCGCAAGGCACCTCAGTACGATCCAGTGCAAACTCCAACGAGACGAAGCATCAATTCGTCCCAGCTGCTGTCTCAACACGGCGTTCCTTAGCTGCAACACCATGCCCACATCCCACAGCCACATCTCAGCCATCAAATGCATCAAGGCCGCGGAAACGATCACGACATCCGGATCATCCTGAACCATCAAAGGCCCGCGCAAACACTGACAAGCAACGCATGCCACGATCCTGGCGACGGCGCTTTCGCTGCGGGGTTGGTGCTTCAGCCGCACCAAGGTGCCTGCGGTCTAAACAGTTTGGAGGCTTGGACTCTCGGACTTTCAGGGTTCAGGGCAGCTTCGAGGTTTTAGGGAATCCATTCATTCGGCCTGTCGTCCACCTCCGTTGAGGGAGCGAGGCCCTCAAGGCCCCGTGACATCAAGCACGACGATGTTCCAGCGCGCACAGCGCTGGACCAAAGGCGTGGCCGGTCTGGGGTCTACAGATGTCTACTTGGAGGTTCATGGTACCTGTTAACCAATTATAACTGTGCGTATAACCCACTTATGAGCCCCTTAAGTGCCCTAATACGGTTATAGGTACAGTTATGGTGTCTACTGCAGTGGATTGCCTTTGTGAACGCTCCTAACGTGGAAGGGGCGTTTCAATGAATGGAAACAGCATATGCCACTGATGAGCCAGAAAACCACTGCGAGGGACAGCGAAATTTGCAATTTCAACTTCCCGAAGCCACGGTTGAGGGTCTAGGGTCAGAGGTTTAGGGTTTAGGGTTGACGGTTTAGGGTCTAGGGTGTTCATTTCCACATGTTTCCCAAATGCACCAGCGCCTCCAACAGGTTCAGCCGAGGGTCGCCGGACACTTTCGTGAGCAGGCGCCTTTTTTGCACGTCTTTTGCATGTTTTGGCCACCCTAGACCTTAAACCCTAAGTCGGGTTCTGTCATCGTCTGAGTGCGGCCACGGCAGAAGTTCGACCAGGGTGCGCCAAAAAAGTGCACGCATCTGACGGGACGAGATCGAGATGCTTGGCGATGTCCTGCCAGAACGTTTGCCTAAGCGCGTTAACAAGCCGGTGTCCTGCGCACTCGCGTCCTGGAATCTCTCGGATGATCACCTGCAAGGGTGGGATGGGACAGCCCCCGAAAGCAGCTACGACTTGGCCATGGATCATGTGGGTTACGCATTGCGAGGCATGAGCACAAGCCCGAGGAATCCCCTGCTTAGAATCTTCGATGATTCGTTGTGAAGCTGGGTCAGAGAAGGGCACACTCACGCATCTTGAACTTGCGAACTCTAGGAGGAGTCTACGACACGTGAAACTCGCCTTCGACTCTCGCATGCTTTCTCGTCACCCAGAAAGGAGGACAGCAAGGCAAGCGCTTGGTCCATGGCCCATGGCCGGCAAAGAAAAGGCAAGGAAAGAGCTGCGGTTGAGGCTTTAGGGTTCTAAGTTATAGGGTTTCGGAGTCTTAGATGGTCTTAGGGTCTCCAAGGGACTTTCCAGACTTAGGCTTTGCCCATCCTGCTCGACCCTCAGCTCCCCTCAGCTCCGGCTTCCTTCGGGGGACTTATCGAACTTCGGGAGCCTTCATACGTCTGACATATTCAGGAACCATGTGCTGCGCATCTCAAGTCGCGTTTGGGCCGATGCCGTGCTTTTTGTTGAAAGGCCCGAAGACCAAAAAACCCGACCCACCCCAACAGTTTAGCTCATTGGGGGGGTGAAGCATTGGTCGGCCGCCTTCGGATTCTCATGAAAAATGGGGTAAGCAGCAAAGTCGCTCACATAAATGCACACACACACACACACACTCGTGTATGTATATACATATATATATATTTATTTATATAACAGGCAATACATGATGAGAGTCAATTCGGATTCTTTTTTCAGAGGCACGTTGCTTTGTCACACTGTGTGGCAGGTCTGATGCTTGAGGGGGGGGCTTCTTTGTTCTAACCGGCCCCTTGGAGGCGGTCAGAATACCTGTATCCTCAAGCTGAGGATTGTGGCGAAGCCTGTTGCATGCCTTGATTCTGCACCACTTGGAGGTTCATGGTACCTAGGAGCCAATCATGACTGCACCTATCACCCCTTATAAGCCCCTTGAGTGCCCTAAGATGGTCATAAGTACAGTCAGAAGTACAGTTGTAAGTGGTTAATAATAAGTACCATGAAACTCCAAGCAGCGGCTACAGTCAACTTGCGTCGTAGGATCTTGTGTAGATAACAACATACTCGGGATAAATCTGGTCCTGGTCGAAGACCACGAACTCTCGATAGGTACCCACGGCACCTTCACGATCTCCGAGGACCGTCTGGTATCGGCCCGTGGCCAAGGCTTCTTCAATCTTGGGTATGTTGGACTCCTTACTTCTCCAACAACCCAAGAAGAAAAAGGCTAAACTTCGTTATTCCTACTAAAAAAGGAAACCCAAAAAGTTTAAAGTTCAGCTATTGGCTAAGTAAGATTCTGTAATGTAGAACATGTTCCCCAGCGTGACGCGGCAGAGCAGGAAGGCGTAGCGATCTTTGAAGACGCCGCTCGGATCCTGCGTGCTGTACTCGTCACTTTTTGAAGAAGCCTCCGCCAAGTAGGCGCCGCCACCGAACATGGTCCCCACGTTCCTTTGTAGGGATGCGTAGCTCAGTAGCTCAGAACTGGACTCAAGCAGTATTTGTGCGAACATGCAGCCAAATTGTAATGAAAAGCTCCTCAGTAAGGGGCTTGCAAGGGAAGCGAGAAAAGGTGAAGGTCCCAGGAATCCCAAGGTTCTTGCCCACGCGGCTCATGTCAAAGCCGTTCTCGCCGATTCCCAGCGCACCTCCTGCGAGCTTAGAATTTAGAGGGGGCCTGTCGGGTCTACGGGCCCAGCGCCTTAACATGGGGGAGCGCGCGTCTCGAGTTTTCTCTAGACTAAGCCGCGCTCCGCGGGACTGGACTTACACAGGAAAGCTCATGCTATGGCTTCGCGCACCTAATCGCAAGGCGCACGGCCCCGACACTTAAAGCATCAACCGAGGGCCAGCCAGGATCTCTCCGACAGCTCGCTCAACTCCCTAGACTCACAGAACCCCCCCCCCCCAACTAAAAAACCTTATAGGCCCTAGGCTCAAAACAGCCCCCAGCAACCCTCTGAGAATGGGGCCTTTGGCCCCGACGAAAACCTTCAACAAAAAGAAGAAGTCCCTGGAAACTCCAAACTTTAAGAGCCTCAGCCCGGAAAAAAAAATAAACCTAAAAAAGCCACCTCTCTTGAAGCTCTCCCCAGCTCGGCACGGCCCCTAAGCCACAGTCAATTCATATAGGAGCTTTAATGATTCAAATAGGGTTTTTTGGGAATTATTATAGTGTATGTAGATAAAGGGACCATAGGGGACTATGCCAACCCCGTTGTCTCCTGGGTTGGAGCCATGAAAGAGGAATGCCTCATTCAGCTCTGGGACCAGTGTGCTGAAGCACTCGAGCCCGTCCTCTGCCTCGAAGGGACATGGGTTTTGAGTTTAGGGTTTGAGGGTTTTAGGCTTAGGAGGTTTTAGGTTTGAGTTGAGGTTTTAGGGAGGGTGCTCAGAGGATCGATAACGGTTCTGTCTTGTGGGTTTGGGAACCCTTCCCTTGCCCAAAAGTCCCCCTCAAGGTGTGTTCAAAAGCTCAGGATTTCCGCCACCGAAAAGTAAGCTTCACAGGACACCGCGGGCGCCCGCAAGGAATGCAGCGCTGAGGTGTAGGGTTTAGGGTTTAGGGTTCAGGGTTTCTGGGGTTGAAAGGAAACTGCCCCCTTTGATGCCCGAGCAATCGACCCCAACATATTTGCAATGTGCCCCCATCACTTGTGGGTTCAGGGGGGTTTCAGGTAAGCCTAAACCCTGCAGCGCTCCATAAACCCTAAACCTTATGCCCTGTCGCTACATCTTATAAGCCCTAGGCTCGAAGCCCTTGTTGCAGAATGTTCAGGGCCCCCCCCCCCCTCCCCCCGAGCCTTGTCTGGCAAGGTCTTCAACTTTCCTTGGGCTTCAGAGACAAAAGCCCGGCTGAACATCACCTAACCCTGCACCCCTAAACCCCAAAACCAACTCTACAGGCCTAGGCAGGCCACGCACGTTCTCGACTCAGTCTTAAACAACGCGCTGCAAAGAGCACAGGCTGGGTCTTGCAATGTTTAGGAGTTATTTGAGTTCAGACCTTAGGCCCTGAGGATTCGTTTTGGCTTTCGGGGTGTAGGTTGGGAGGTTCTCCCTTATAGTACCCCCCAATATAATCCCTATTAAGGACTGTTAGCATGAGGGGTAACATCCCAAGGTGTAGGGCTTGAGGTGGCTAGGGCTCCTCAACGCTTGTGCGCATGCTCAAAACGTGCCAGGCGTCCGCTTCCCGGCAGGCTTTCCACCAGCGTTGGGGGCGAACCTTGGGCAAGCGCCTGTCGCTTTGCCTGGTAACGGCGCCACATGGCCTCGACTGCTGTGAGCATAGGGGGGGCAAGCTGTGATCCAGCGAATTCTATGTGTCTCGAAGATTCTGAACCCTCAGCCCCCACGCCCTCGATGTTGAGTCTGTATGACAAGAGCCCTACTTGACACCAACCAAACCGTTCAACAATGTCAAGCTCTCGTCCACAGCTCTATACTTGGATGTTCTTGTTTACCAATTGCAACTGTACTTATAACTGTACTTATAACCATCGCAGGGCACTTAAGGGGCTTATATAAGCGGGTGATAAGTACAAATATAATTGGTTGATAAGTGCCATGAACCTCCAAGTACCTGCCGTCAGAAAGCTGGACAACGATCCTGGGCTCCGAAACTCTGCAGGCCTGGGGACTTCTTCTCTTCCTTCTTGTAACGGGAGCCTAGTACTTTAGGGTTTAGGGTTAGGGTAACATCCTGAAGCCTAAGCTCTATCAAGGCCCCAGTTCCAACTAGTCCCTTCTACAGCTCTGAAAGTTCTATGGGGAGTCTCACTTGAAGTTTAAGTAGGTATGAGCCTGCAAGGGAGCGTTCATCACAAGCGCCTTGGATTTTGCAGCCCAGTAGCACTATCTTCCATTCGAAGCACTTGCTCCACGACAAGGCGTGTCGGCATCTGATCTTTGCGGTCTCCTTAGACCAAGTTTAGGCTCGTCATTGTACCCTTTTTGGTTGAAAGGGGCTTGTAAGGCACCCTCCGCCCTCAAAAAACAAAGGGGAATAAGGGCCTACGTTGAGTCCTAGGTAAGGCATGGTGCTGCATCTGAAACGGTCAGGACTTGTAAAACTACCGGTTCCGTGGATCGGCGGGCGCTTCTCAAGTCACTCGTGCTCTTCTCACGCAGTACGAGCCTATCCGCCTTACTTCCAAAACCGCCCTTGATCATGCTTCGACATGGTAAACACTGCTACTTGCGAGCACTGCTGGTAAGGATGGTGCTGCTTATCAGTGCTGCTTGTGTTTTGTCAATACGACCTCAATACTAGATCCAGACTGGCGCGCCAGACAATCGGTACCTCAAGACTGCTCAGTTGTAGAACGGTGGTCGGTGTTTAATAGAGAGTGCGCTGCATGGCCGCAGTGAGACGCACTAGCATTTAGCATGGCGTTGAGAGTTGTAGCCATCCCCGATGAAGAAGGCAGTATCTGGAGGTGAGTTGCTGGTTTTCTTCGCTTTGAAGGTGGCATCGAGCAATGCCTGAGGGTCCGAATACGATGCAGAGGCAGACCCGAAAGCTGAGCCCTCTCCAAGAGGCTCTGGAGGGACGATGGAGGTAAGGGGTCGAAGGGAACTATTGGGAAAGCCACCCATACTTTTGGCTTGAAGGGTGTAGGGCTACGAGCACGCGATCTTGGGAAGGACTGCCGCGGAGGAAAAAACTTGCCACCAATGGGTTTAGTTGCAAGGTCGAAAAATCAGCGCCCCCGATGTATTGCTAGTAGCCCTAAGCCCTAAACCCTAAACCCCAAACCCTAAATCCCAAACCCCAAACCCTAAACCCCAAACCCTAAACCCCTAAACAGTGCCTGCATCTTCTCACGGTCAGCTTCGGAGAGTCTGATCTTGTCGTCGAAGGATGCTTGTGCGTTTTGATTCTTCCAATAACCTTGTAGGGTTTTGTTAGGGTTCAGGGTTCAGGGTTCCGGGTTCCGGGTTCCGGGTTTAAGTCCAATGGGCAGGAGAAGGAAAACCGGCCCAAAACGTAACCAAAGCCATCAAATTCTAACCCTGAACCCTAAAAACCCTAAACACTATAAACCCTAAACCCTAGACCCCAGACCCGAATCCAAGCCAAGCAACCGGGAACGCCTTCCGGCAGACTTAGGTCCATGGGTGCTTGATTCGGTGCCTCGCCGTGCCCTTCATCCTGAGTCGCTGCTCTGGTGATTAGGGTTTAGGGTTTCGCCACCCGCACTGCACCTTAGGGTTTAGGGCTTAGGGTTCAGGGTTCAGGGTTCAGGGGTTAGGGGTTAGGGTTTAGGGTTTAGGTTCAGGGGGTAGAAGTTTGGGGGTAGGGTTATGAGCACAGTTGCCATAATGACCACCCTACTTACAAGAACCCACGAAGCCAAGTAGGATGTAGGGCTTCTCGGGTTTACAGGGTTCTTCGGGTAGTTGCATGGTCCCTTATGAAGGGCCCTTCAAAGGGGACCCCTCGTATACCCCTTATACACCGCATAAACCTTATAAAGGAGGTAAGGGACCATATCCGCCGAGGCCTCGGGCCGGAGGTGTATAGGTTGTCAAAACAGGCACCCCCCTCCAAATCCTCCCCCCACACCCCTTTTTTTGCCTCAAATGGGTACCCCCCCCCTAGGAAACCGGGGTCCTCAAGCGGACGGTTCGCCAGGACCAGAGGCAGTTGAAGCCCCTCCCAGCAGGCGCCCATCCCCTTTTTCTTCTGCCCCCCCCCCCCCACCCCCCCCCCCCACCCCCCCCCCCCCCCCCCCCCCCCCCCCCCCACCCCCCCCCCCACCCCCCCCCGCCCCCCCCCCACCCCCCCCCCACCCACCCCCACCCCCCCCCCCCCCCCCCCCCCCCCCCCCCCCCCCCCCCTCCACCCCACTGCAGTTGGTGAGCGGGTCTGAGCTTAAAGCCTTACATCTTAAACCTGAAGCACTCAACCGCCCCCCTCCCCCCCTACGCCCCTGAGGGGCCTGGCTCAACCCTACGATCAATCCAAGCCGAACCGTCTTGAACCCTACTCCCAAAAAAACCCTAAACCCCAAAGCGTGAACCTTGAGCCCTAAGCCCTCAATCCTAAACTAAACCATAAACCATAAACCCGGAACCCTAAACCCTAAACCCTAAACCCTAAACCCAACCCTTATTGCTTGGGGTCCAGCGACTTGGGCGCTGCGGAATCACCATGCTCACGCGGATGCGCTGGGCCGGGCCGAGGCGGGTCGCGTAGCGTTAAAATTAAGGGCCATGTAACTACCCTTAGAAGGGTAAACTGAACCCTGAACCCTGAACCCTCAACCCTAAACCCTCAACCCTAAACCCTAACCCCCAAAACCCATGCTCCAGTCCTGAAGTCTTCCGGAACCGACGCTGTTCGTCGGCGCAGTCTCCCTTTGCGGGGCTCCCCTGGCCTGTTTTGAACGTCTTCAATGTGGGATGTTCCCCCTTATACTGACAGTCCTTAATAGGGTTGAGGGTGTCTTTGCCACCCGGGTTTAGGGTTAAGGGTTTCCCCAATCTTCAATCTACTTGGAGGTTCCTGGGTAGCTACAAGTAGGGTCATAAGTATCCTAAATGAGGTTGTAAGTATACTTACCATAATTCGAACCCGACTTGTAGCTACCCTTGAAGGGATCAATCCA